GATGGTGGAACGCTGAGAAGGCAGGCTTTCAGCTCCTCCACTCTGAACTTCTACATATAATTTCATTGGAAGCAAAGATGCTGTGGCCCCCCAATTTTTTTAATTTTCTGTCATAGTGTGGACGAGGAAAGTGCAACCTATGAGAATGAAAGGGAATGGGAATTTTGGGCTTAAAAACCTACGTTCTCTAATTCTACGTTGTGTGTTCTTTTTATCCTGCCAGGGTTGCCATCCACCTCACTGTAACCTCAAAAGTCTCGCTTGTGCTTATATGACTAACCCAAATCACACACAAATAGCATACAGTGAATAAGACAGATATTAATAAGTAGCAGTTACTGATTTTAACATGTATTCGTAAATGGCAAAATAAGAGCACAAACTGCATCTACATAAAAAAGAATAATACACGAAAGGAAATGGACATTCGCTGCTGCTTCTAGGGACTCTACCTAATTCACTTCAGCACTGTGGGATTCAAGAACCAAAAAAAGGATGCACTGGAAAATAAAAGTGTTTGACAGTGTGTAGCATAATGCCTGAAACACAGTAGCTGCTAGTTCAGTTCTCCTTTATTCTCTCCATTCACCCCCCTCACTCTGAACAGGAACCCTAAAGCAGCAAGGAAATTGGTCTATTGCTGGTGTTGCCTTGAGGACACATTTTTGGAGCAAGTCTTTCTTGAACCCTAAATGAAAGACCAAATTTAGTGGTACATATTTCCTTCCTCTAAGATTTCTCATAAAAATCTACACATACCCCTAATGCAAACAGGGGGGTCTTTGTGCTTTTCTCATTTCTTTTGGATTCCTCCAAAGGTGTTCTAATCCTCCAAGGTTCATGCTCTTGGCTGTACTTACTGCCTGCTGGCTGTAATGTACATCCCAGCGCTGTATTCAGCTAGCACACACACACATGCGGAAACAGAGCCAATTCTTATGCAGAATTACTATGTATTGCACTTTCTGGTTCCCCAAACCTGGAAATGGATTTCAGTTTCTGTCCTTTATCCGGCAACTATTCACCTACTACACTAGGGAGGAAAAATGGCACCGAAACAAATCACAAATCATGGAGAGGAAGCAGCAGTGTAGCGTCACCTTTTCTTTTTCTGCAGAGAACACTGCTGGGATTCTGGGAGAAAACAGCTCGAACGATGTCCCAAATCTACGGGGCCTACATTGGCTTACGTCCATATGACTTTGTGGCCCTCAAGGTACATTTCTTTTCATGTTCATTTGTTAGATATGTTACACTTCATTTGAGTAATAACATTGAAATTATTTTTTGCTAAGCCTAATTTCAAATTTACAAGACATTGGCAAACATTTTTTACACTCCTTCAGCCAGTCATTTTTCTGCACTTCCCTGATTCCAAATGTATCAGCAACATAAAAAAAAATACTTGGCAATATTGCTGGTTGGCTCAACATAATAGTAGCAGGTAATAAAAAGAGGTAGAATGTGAAAAGAAAAAATGCAAAAGAGATAAAAGATTATGGAAAGTAAAAACTTAAGAGAATGGTTCACAAAATGATCAGAGTACCTATCTGACAGTTTTATAGGTTAAAGAACACATTTCTTGCTTTATTTTCACACTCATATCTTAGATGTGATTCATGATAGAAAACTTATGCCAGTTGAGTCATTATATATGTGTGATTGTGGCTGACAAGACTACTGCATTAGACCAGCTCTTTCTCTGACACCTACAGATAAAAGGTACTCTCAGCCTATAATTAGAATACTTTTGAGATTTGCATATCTTCCTGTCCACCCTCTCTGCACCTGGCTTACCACCCTGTGGTTATCATCCTGGTAGGCTAAGGTTTAGAGCCTTTGCATTTACCCTCCTGCCTTATTTTCAGTGGAGCTTGAAAATGTTGTTGGTAGCTCTGTTCAAGCTAGACATGGTATCTGTGGTGGATTCACATTTTGCAACTGTATATTCCTGGGGCTTGGTCTGGATTTTGTAAGTCGTGTTCTGACATAGCATATTGCAGTCTGGTACCTCTGAATTCGTGTTTTTGTTTTCTGTTCTATTTTATGTTGTTCTTTAGAATGTTTATTCTCATTTTCTTTGCACAACAAGAGGAACAGACTCTTTTCACCTACTTAACATGGAATTTCTTATCCTTAGCAACTGCAAGACACTTCGAGCAAGCTTGAGGGAGACCACAAAGAACAAGTAGAAAACAGTCCACTCACTGAAACCCTCAGCAGGTAAGCAGTCCAAAGTTACACACGGTATCGTGCAAGCCCTGGACACCCTGTGTGCTTGGAGTTGTTTCTTCTCTGGCTCACCGAATACTGATGTCTACGTCATTCTTCCAATGAACATTAAAAATTTGTTTTGAAGCCTTATTTTTTCCTCTCACTTTTAACATGGTGGGCAAACTCAAAGATAGGAGTACGAACAGATTGGGCTGACAACTTCACATTCTATACTAGTTTAGGAGGAGACTGAGCCTTGAATAAGAGTGTCCACCTAGTGACTCCCAGAAGGGGCAGCTTGCAAAAGGCAGGGACAGGTGCCAGCAGCTCTGAGGAGAGAAGCTATTGAAAATCAATCCTCAAAACCCACAGCTGGGCCTGGGCCTGGATCCCTGGACATGGAGGCCGGGCTGTGCACACGCTTGGGTTGCCCATCTCCCTGCCATTACACCTTCTCTTTGTTTTCCTTTCAGAGCTGTCCCTCACTTCTCATTTTAACCAGATTGCACTGAGTATAATGAGGAACCCAGAAATAAGGCCCAAACAATTATAAACCATTTTCTGTTGAGTGGAAAGGGATCTGTAATATAAGCATTTCCCTCTTTTCTCTGTGGGGAAACAAATTTTCTGGCTAACTTGAATTTATAAACATATTAGGATGTAGATTAAATAATCAAATGTATAGTTATAAATTAAACTTTACTTCTGCATTGACATTTAAAATCATGTTAAATCATACATATTTAGATATATTAACTTAGTAACTTTTTTCTATGATCACATCTCATGAAATTTTCATTCCAAATCTCCTCATGTAGTACCTTCAGCTTACGAGAGCCTCCTTTTTGAGTTAACGGATTCCAAAGCACCTCACTTTCTCTCCCAACCAAGTTGCTTAAAAAGCCATGTGTGTAGACTGGAAATTGCCTTCTAAGTCATGAGTATGTATTGTCTCTGTAGGCTTATTTTGGTATTTGCAATTAAATACCGTATTGCATTTTAAATAACCTTAAAAACAGGCAATATTCCAGAAATAATGACTAAATCTGTGTACAGTTTCTTTGTTTCATACTTTTCTTCTTTTTAAATTGACTTGAGAGAGAGAGAGAGGTACGGAGAGAGAAACATCAATTTGTTGTCCCACTTATTCATGCATTCATTGGTTGGTTCTTGTAGGTGCCCTGACCGGGAATCAAACCAGTTACCTCTTGGTTCATGGGACGATGCTCAACCGAGTCACACAGGCTGGGCATCTTTGTCTCAGTTTTTTATTTTTACACCAGATAGATGATATAAACATTCAAAGTTATATCATTGTCATTGATTGACAATATTTTAGGCAAATGCGTTATTTTGCAACCATCACTTTGTTGTTCAAATTGGAGTACTCCATTTTTTCTACAGGTTTTCGTCCCCTCTCTTTAGTTCCCAAGTGTTGTTGAGTAAAAACCCTCCAGTGCTTGAAAGCTAAACTTTATACTCAATGGCTTTGGTGACAGATGTTTCCTATAATATAGCACTAGCATAGTGCCTGCAGTGCTGAACGTGTGCCCGGCGCTTTGTTAATTCTCAGTAAATGTTTACAGAATGAATAAGGGGTGAAAGGTTATGTTCACAGTCTGTGTGGATATAGAGAAACAGGATTTGTCTGAGACCGATTTTAAGAGATCTACCGGACAACCAGTTTAAAATTGAAAACGAAACAACACACACACACACACACACACACACACACACACACACACAATGTAAAACTGTGGAATATGAGTCCCAAATGTATTTTAACCAAAATCTTTACATTTTTTGGTTTTCACTTTAGGTTAGTTTTGTCAGATGAGGAAGTGAACTTGAGAAGTGAATCAGGTAAGATGGTAAATTCATTAAAATGTGAAACGATCACATTTTAAATGTCAAAACACTTTGTCACATTTTTTAAAAAAACTGACAAAGCAAGCTATTATCGACTACACATACATAGTAGCGCAATATTATTCACTATGTATTATTGATTATACTTCCTGTGCTGTCCTTTACACCTCAGGCCTGTTTTGTAACCAATTTGTTCTTTTTGATCCCTTCACCTTATTCACCCAGTCTGTGAAAGCCTCTCCCCTTAAGTCACTTTACAAACCTCTTGGTACAAGTACTTTTGAGTTAGCTTTATTTTTTTCTAGCTTTTTGAGTTGTAATACTCTGTAAGTTTAAGGTGTATACTGTGATGATTATATACCTTTCACAAAATTATTATCATAACAAGATTAGGCAACACATCTATCAGCTCTCATAGTTATCATATTTATTTTGGGGGTAAGAAAATTTAAGATATACTCTCTTAGCCACTGTCAAGTATTAATTGTTAATTAATAGTTAATATACTGCCCAGCCAGTGTGGCTTGGTGGCTGAGTGTGGACCCATGAGCCAGTCTCTCATTCGTTCTGAATTTTAATCGGTTTTTTGAATAAATTTTTCTTCATTTGATGTGTGCTTTTGGAACAATTTCTAGAGAATTTTAAATAGTTATTTTAAAAATAATTTCCACCAGTTATTTAAAAACTGGTGTGCAGGTCCATAGGCCTCCTCTCCTTACTATCATGCTGGAAGCCCCTCTTTTTCTCTTTTATTTAATAAAGGTTTTTAGGGTCAGGATTTTTCCTCTATTAATTGCTATTTAAATATCTCACGGATTATACAGGGTATGGCAAAAGTAGGCTTACAGTTGTGAGTATGTAAAACAAAGTTTTATTCTTATTATTTCTTAATTATTGTATTATTTTCCACATGAACAACTATAGACCTACTTTTGCCCCACCCTGTAATATAAAATGTCTTCTTTATCATTATTTTTCAGAAATTCCATTCCACTTGGAAACAAGAGTTAATAGAACGTATTAAAATTTACAGGTGGAAGAGCCTTTTAGTTTTTTGGTTTCATTTTTTAAATGATTTTATTTTATTGCACTGTAATCAGAGCATGTTGTTTGTAATATTTCTACTTTATGAAAGTCACTGACTTTTGCACCTTAGTATATTTAATTTTTGTGAATTTCAGTGTGTGCTTGAGGAGAAGGTATATTTTCTCTTAGTGTTTATATATATTCAAAACAACTACCTTTATTGATTATGCTGCTTAGATCTTTTCTCCTCTTGGACTATTTTTTACTGAGTGATATATTAAAGTCTCCTATTATGAATCTGTATTTCTCCTTGCATCTCCTGTAGTCTGTCTTACATAGGTGGTTGGTTAATTATTTTACATGTAGATATGCATAACTGTTAAATCTTCATTGTGAAATGTGGTCATTTTGATCTAATTAGAAATAATTTTTATATACGCTTCCTATCAGTTTATTAAAATTACGTTAATAAAATGTGAGAGCAATGAAACAAATTTGGCTTGCCCTACATCCTACTCTCATTCCTTCAAAAAGAAAAAAGCCATTCTGTTTTTGTTGTCACTCGACAGTTGCAAAAGATTTACCTGGAGATTCACTGGGAGATGATTTTGAGAAGGAATTCTCATTTCTGAACAGCCTCCTAAGTCCTGCTTCTTCAAGTTCTAGCGAATTTACTCAAGAAGGCCAGACTGCCTTTGGGAGCCTCACGTTCCAGGAGCCTCCCGTGGGGTCCGAGCCCCTTGCTCATTCCCAACGATTCCTTCCTTCCCAGCTCTTCGACCTTGGCCTCCATGCTGCGGGAGCCTTCAACAGTGAGTGTCTCCGCCACATCTGGACGCCCATGACTTATTTATCTTTGTGAAGCAAACCACTGTGCATGTGGATGCTAAAGTCAAAAAGGCTGATTTTAGTTGACTTCAGTCCTACGAGGTAAAACCTGCAGGCACACCAGTCAGCTGGAATAGTAACACATATCCCACCACTGGAGTCCGTGCACAAGAGTGAAACGGGGTCTGCTTTCCTGCCCCTCCACACGCGCCCCCTTTTCTTCTCTGACGTTCCCAGGTATCTTCTCCACATGGAAAACCAGGGTCTTGTCTGAAACTCTTGACCTGCTAAGCCACCCCGGCCAAGGGCAGGCAGGTGCTTTCTGTGGGTTCCAGCTCCGGAGGCTGGCTCTGTGGCAGCCTTGTGGGCAAGCCTGCGGCATGGGGACCCTAGCAGAGGGCTGGGGTCGGGCTGCTCTCCTGAGGAAAGGGTCGCCTGCTTTGTTTATATGTGGAGAACTCTCTACTCCCGCGGTTCTTCTATCCTGTGTCCAACCCAGCACCTTGGGGTCACTTTGCTCCCCACTTCATACTGGTTGCTAAGTCCTGTCTGTTCTCTTTCTGAAACATGTCTCAAGTTTCCCATGGTCCTCTCTGCCTCTGCTACCAGCGCCCCTTAGAGCCTCATTTGGCTTCCTGGGTTTGTGCTACAGCCCTCCTCACAGATCTCCCAAACCCTCGTCCATCCTCCACGCATCCCCCAGTTCTCTCTCCAAGCAGCAGACAGTATGAATCTTTCCGCTCCATTATAATGTTATGGGACCACTGTGGTATATGGGGTCTCTGTCAGTGGCCAAAGTGTCTTATGTAGCACGTGACCGTATTTCAAAAGCAATTTGAAAAATGGAAGGCAGACTAATCTAAATCTAGCTGGGACTAAACATATTATTTGAATAAAACACATAATTGCAGATAAATTCTAAGTGTTTTATACCTCTTATACTGTAGAATCTTACCCTGGTATGAAGGCTGGAGGACTTATTAGATATTTTTACCTTTTCTTGTTTTTCGGATGCTACTTCCTATTTGGTTAGTAATGGATGATTCTTTCCTTCCCTCCCTGCAGGCTGGGCCTCCAGAGGGGGATTCGAACCTCCTCTCTCACACACTGATAGTCAGCCAGTGCCTTCACAGAGTCCAAAGAAATCAACAAAAGGTAAGTTATATGTTTACTACAGGCCTTGTGCATGAAAATTCATGCACTGGAGTGGGGGTCCCTCAGTCTGGCCTGCCCCCTCTCACAGTCTGGGAGCCCTCAGGGGTGGGCCTGGCCTTGCTTCATGCCTGCTGCCCCGGCAGGGCTGAGGGGACTGGGCACTGCCATCTTGTGGCTATGGGTGTCACCATCTTTGTGACAGCATGAGAGTCAATTAGCATATTCCCTCTTTATTAGATAGGACTAGAGGCCTGTTGCAAAAAGAGATTCATGCAATAGGCCTTCCTTTCCCCTGGCTGCTGGCACCGGTTTTCCTCTGGCACCTGGGATCCAGGCCTTCACTCAGGCCTTTGCTGCTCCACCGGTCCTGGGGCCATCAGGCTTCACTCCACTGCTTGGAGCCTACATATGCAAATTAACTGCCATCTTTGTTAGGTTAATTTGCATACTCTCCTGATTGGCTGGTTAGTGTAGCAAAGGTATGGTCAATTTACATGTTTGCTATTATTAGGGAAGATGGTCTTTGCTATCATATTAACAATTAATCGAATTCAGATAAATTTAGACAATGTATCCAGAAAAATATTTTATAAATGTAAATTAATAAAATAATACTTTATAAATGATAATGAAAGTTGTACCTGAATACCACTCACCGTAGAAATAACTGAATAGAAATTTGTGATCTTGCCATGGTAAACTAAGTTCTGTAATCTTTTCTTTTTGGTGTGAAGGTTCGTTGATGGTGGATAATACCACTGGGGACAGAAGATGCTCTTTGATTACAGGATGCCTGTTGACAAATAAGGCGCTCATTAGCATAGGGCCTGGTACATAGTAATTGCTAATGTATTGCGTACTTACATATTGGCGTCTGCAGAGTGTCTCCATGTTATAATTACCATATGGGTATACATAGAAAACAGACACATTCTGTCTTGCAGAATTTTAGATACATTTTAATCTTAGGCACTGATGTTGATTTCTTAAAGCTTTTTTAATCAGAGAGAATTTCAAACATATAGAAACGTTGCATAAATGAAAAAACCACAAAGAACATGTGTATACCCATTGCTCAGATTCTCCTATTGTTAGTGTTTTACCCCATTTGCTCTATGTTATTTATTTCTGAACCAACTGAGGATAAGTTTCATACATAATGACCATTTACCCGTAAATACTTCAATTTGTGTTTCCTAAGAACAGGTATATTGTTTTGCACAAACAAAGTATGATGATAAACTTTGGGAAACTTTATATTAAGATAATACTTTTCTATAATCTGCCATGTTTGTGTTCCAGTTTGGTGAGTTGGCCCAGTAATGTCCTCTGAGCACTTCCCTCTCTGGTAGAGCAAATCCAGGTTATGGATTATATTCGTTTGCCATGTCACTTGTCTCTAACCTATTTAATCTGAAACAGTTACACAGCTTCTCAAAAATGTTTGGATGTGGGTTTTTTAATAGGATATAGTCCATCTGTTCTACTGTTTTTTTGTTTTTACTGGAATGCTTCTTATTTCAATTTTAGTGAGGGCTCCATGTGATTAAATTCAGGTATTCTTTTTTTATTTTGGCAAATTTTTAATTTAAGCATAGTTGGTAATATTAGTTTCAGGTGTACAATATAGTGATTTGACATTTTTATACCTTACAATGTGATCACCCCACTAATTCTAGCAATCGTCTGATACCATGCAAACTTACCACAGAAGACTTAACTACTGCTGCCTTTGCACTTTTAATCAGGCCTTTTCTCAGAGCAGCATGCAATCACTTAGGGTCTTAGACATAAGAGCCTCAGCCAAGTACAGGTATCTGCATTAGTTTGTCAAAACCATCCTTAAGGAGATGTAATTGATAGTTTATTCTTATCAGTTGCCTTACATTTTTTTTTTATTCAAAAGGAGCATCTACTTTAAAATAATGGAAGTGGTACACTAATGTGATTTTGAAAACCCGAGACTCGTTAACATGTGTGTGTTTTTTTAATAGCTCCCACCCATGGTAATCAAGGCATG